ATTCCCAACGGTGTGTCGTCATCAGCGTCATTACCCACATCGTCCTCATCATCATCATCATCATCATCATTGGGAGTGGGATTGAGTGGGAGTGGGCACTGGGACTGTGACTGGGAAGCAGCTACAACTACATCGTCATCCACATTATCATCCTCGCTGTCGGATGGGCCCCGTGCAAATGTTTATTGTGGGAATTCGTTGGCTGGGACGTGTCGAGTGGCGACTCCAGCAGCAGCAGCAGCACCACCACCAACATCACCCACCTACCTACACAGCCCTCCCCCCGGCCTATACATCGCTCTCTGCCTCTCCCTCTTTTTCTGCTATTTGCCGGGGCCACAAAAATTAAATTTATGAATTGTTTCGTTTGTGCGTGACCAGAGATTTACAATAATCAGAAATCGGGAATCAAAGAACACGCTCAGGAGACTAATTAGTCCTGCTGGCCTGGTGCCGCATATACCCACCCAACCAGGGTGCAAAAATTATAATTATAATTTCTCGTGTCTACCAATTGGCCCCCCTGCCCCCTGCCCTAGCCCTCCTCCCTTATCCATATTCTGCTCCAGCCACTGCGCTGATTGTTTGGCCATAAAACATAAATGAAATATGAATTGGAAATTAAATGAAGAAGTCAAAGAACCATTGGCTATACCCTTGCAGAGGGTATTGTAATTTTTATTCATTTAGTATGTGTACTAATTAATATATATTTCATGTACATATACATATGTAAATAATACCTACACTTAGCACATATATGTATATGCACATTTATAATATATTTTTAAATACCAATAAACCCTTCACTTTATTCACTTCAGATTTTTGACACCCGTCACCCTTCCACAGAAAAATGTCCTGTCCACTGCCTGTTGCCGAATAGAAAAATGCAGCCACTCCATTGCCATTTAAACTGATAGCTAACCAATCCATTGAAATTATAAAACAATGCCATGCCCTAGCAGTAATTTGCGCGATTAAAAAGCGACCGAAGCGGACCACGAATTGAATGCAATTGGCAAGGCCTCAATTAATAATAATTTTGAGGAAACGCTATTCGTTTATCGCTTGACATGCGACCCTGTGATGCGTTGCTGTCTCAGGGAAGTATAAAAATAATCGCAAAAAAAACTTTTCACAAAGCTATGCCTCTGCAGGCTCTTATTGGCCGTGATGGAATACATTTAACGAACCATAATCCAAACAACCGCATTAAATAGATACTAATTTCTTGGCAGCCGCCGCTGCCTGCCCCCCACACACACATTCGCCCCCCCCAATCACAGCCAGGTGATGATCCTGGGGGGGGGCAGGGCCACCCATCAATCCGAACACCACCCATAAAAGCCCATAAAAGTTCGCTGACAGCTTTTTAAATATTTATTTAAATGAAATTCATTATTTAAAGCGATTTTTCATTGACCACAAAAACCGAAAAACGTTTGCTGCCGGCCCAGCTCTTTTTTGGCCGGGGTCTGAGTGTGGGTCTGAGTATGGGCAAGGGTGTGCTCAGGCATGGATGGGTGAAAAGATGGATGGCATGGCATGGCAGGATCTCTTTCCCAATTCCACACTTTTTCGTTGGCTTTATATATGTGTGTGTGTGATGTGTGTGTGTGTGTGTGTGTGTGTGGGCATTGTGTTGTTGGGGCTGTATGGCCACGCATTTCGTGCTTAAATAAATAAATTGAACAATTATGCGTGGTTGCGGTTGTTTTGGCTTTGATGGAGCCCAGGCATAATCCTATTACCGGGCCATTCTCCATTCTCTGGCCCACAGTTGCCAGCTTTCCATTCGACAGTTGCCCTGCACCGCCCCACCATTCGCATCTCCCATTTCCACTTTCAATTCCATTGCCGATCCCTTTTCTGCTGCTGCTGCTGCTGTAACTCCTGAATGCGGTAACTGGTCGAATGCTGTTTGGTCGAATGCTGGTCGCTGAAGGATGGTGTACTCGTATGCTGGATTGCTGCTGAATTGTCGATGCTGGTTTACTTTTCCGCATAAATCTGCCAAAGCAGCTGCCAGCCAGCCAGCCGGCCAGCCAGCCCAAAAACTCTGCCCTCTGTGTGGACCAGGATTTGAGTTTAGTTTTGCCCCCCAGCTCGATTCGATTATTTGATGCCGAAAATCGGTTAAACTTTGTTAAACTTTTGCTGCGATTACCCAATAATTAACGAGGTTTATTTCCATTACCATAATTGGTAATGCTTTCCACCCCGTAAATTGCATTGTTGGAAACCTCCCGATGGACGTTCTGCCGGCAAGTTCGGAAACTAATTTACGATATTCGAATTTGTATCAATCTGATACGAGTATATGCAGAAGATTAAGATTTTAGCTTGTTATAAAGTTTAAATTAATTAATTAAATGTACCCGCTTATGTGGCTGTTCTATAACTATGAAGCTGGGGACTGGACTTGAAGCAGGAATTTCTGTGTTTAAATAAATCTAAAAAATAGAGAAAAAGCAGGGCCGCGTAACTGCTATAAGTTTTAAAATAAAAATTGCAATCTAAAAATTATTTCCAAATGAATTATATAAAAGTTTCAAATAACACTTATTTCTAATTAATTCAATACAAATTATTTCTATTAAAAAAATTACAACTAAGAATTAAAAATGATTTATAATATATAAATCGTAAATTTAAATTTGTTGCTGATATATGTAGCTTATTATGACTGAAATATAAATTATAGTATATTCCATGTTTCCGTAACGTTTTCCCTTCACATTGATTTATTTACTTAAAATTGGCATTCATGACTCTTATTTGCGGTCCCTGAGAACAAGTAGAAAAATTAAGATCATATTAATTTTGTTTTCAGTACCAACAAATTCATAGAATTTTGATCTCTTCCGACACTTTGAAATGTTCGCCAAAGCAATCCACAAACCACAGAATAAGAATTTAATGGATCTTGCATAAATAATGACAGAGTTTGGAGAGAGCAGATCTGCGGTTGGCTGGCTGGCTGGCCTCGCCACAGCCTCTGTTTGGCTCTTGTCAAAAGCATTTTGGACTCAGGGACTCCGACGCCTGTGCCTTTTGCGCTATGTACCACCGCAAGGCGATGCTTGGAGCAGTCCGTTCCCGCGACTGTTCGCGACCACTGACCATCAACATCAGCACTCGGCGGGGAAGGGGAAGGGTTTTGCAGCATGGGCCTGGGCCTGTCACTGGGGTCCATACCCGAAGCGAGGCAAGGCGAGGCGACGCGACGCGTGTCTGTCTCTGGCATTTCAGGTCGCATCGCTGCCACTTGACTTGAAATTTATGCGTTTAATAATGCATCGGAGTTGGAAGAGTCCAGAGCCAGTTGCTTGATGATGGCTCCCGCAATGGCAATGCCGTTAGTTACCTCTGAGGCCACATCATCATCATCATCATCATCATCGTCGTCGAGGGGCCGCTGGACCCCGTTATTATGTGCCAACATGGCCGTCAACGTGACGCAAAAGACAAAGCAAAGAGACGAAGCCAAAGACGATATCAGCATATGTTACGAGTGTGTGGGTGTGTGTGTGTGTACATGTATGTATATCCATCCCAGCATGTTGCCTGCGTGCATTGTTCGATTAATGACTTAACGACGTGAGTTGAATAACTTTGATTTAGTGTCATCTCATTTTGCGTGCCACACAACACAGCAGAATGGAACCAGACCAAAACCGAATCAAATACAGAGCAGGGGAGACCGTGGAGAGAACGTTTCTCCCAGCTAATTATATTTATTTACTGGGCGTGCACACAGACACAGAGATACCGAGACACAGAGACAACGAGACGCAGAGACAACGAGACACCCAGAGACACCGAAACACCGAGAGAGATATGCCAGTGCGAGGAGCAACTTATACTCGAGTATGTATGTACATATGTATTTGCGGGAAAGACAGCAGCTTGTGTGGGCTGCTGCTGACTTGAGCCTTTAATTAATATTAGAATCCGAGTAGCAATCAAATGGTGGCGCATGAGGAACATATTTGATCGAAACATTGCCAGTATCGAGAGAGAGAGATGCTGCCAAACCCAACCCCAACCCAACTAGAGAGTTGTGGCTGGACCTGGACCTGGACCTGGACTTGGACTGTGGTCACCTTAGATTGTCGATTAAGCAGCCGCTTGTTCGCTTCGTTGCGAAAATTGCAATTATGGGCACAATATTGAATTGGACAGGAATGGAATGCTGGTTGGTGATGCAAAAACTGATTGATTGAGACAGTACAAAGGAAAGTAATATAAGCCGCGATGCATACCTACAGATATGTAGATGTACCCACGCATATGTATGTATGTATTTAAATATGGTAACTATCACTGGAACTTCCACAGATTACACAATTTACTTTACAAAAAAAAGCGTACATAAGCTTAGGGTTGGTCAACGGCAATAATCGATAGTCAATAGAGATGCCAAAAAAATATCACATATAATATCGAATATGGAAGATTTCATATGCGCTATAATTATAATTATTCTTTTATTTATTTTAAGCCTAGCAATCAAATGAATTTAATTTTCTGTCGACCGAAGTGGGGTGATATTCCTATGGAAACGATAAAAATGCATGCCGTTATGCAAATGCATGGTGCTATGACGTCAGACTTTGCCAGCTTTGCTGCTGAGAAAGAGACAACAGGAGAGACCAAGTGCAAAATTAGTGTTCGTAGTCTACGTCTACTGATTTTAAGTCGAGAAAAAATTATAATTTCCAGCACAAGCAGGCCAAAGAGGCAGCAAAATTGTTTCTGGAAAGTACAGCACTGCAGTCGCTAAAATTCTTCCCAACACAACAAATTGTCTGAGCTAGTTGCCAGGGCTGCCAACTAGTTTGTTCAACTTTTTGGGATTTTTCAGAAAATACCATCACGTGGTTGCTGTCAGTCTGTGATTTTATTTCATTGGCATTAACTATTTGTGCTTGTGCGCTGTGATTACTGCTTGAAAATTTTGTAAATTTTTATTAGTATTTTCGCTCACTGCTAAAATGGATACCAATTCGGACGCCGCAATGCCGGAGCTTGGTGAGCAACTGGCGGCCAACGATGCCGCTGAAAATGTCCCTGGCAACGGCTCGGACTTGCACGAGGAGCCAAAGCACTTCAATCGTAAGAAGATTGATATCGCAGAGCTGCGCAACTACTGCATTCGCCACGAGATGCCGCTGCCCGTCGTCGAGATTGTGCAGCAGTGCGGCACCCCAGACGCACCCGAATACATCGCCTGTTGCACGGTGGCCTCCATCAAGCGCTACGGCACGGCGGGAACTAAGAAGGCTGCCCGCCAGCTGGCCGCCCTCGAGGTGCTGATCGTCATCTCAGCCGACGAGCAAGAGGAGCCGAATCACGACTTGGAGGTCGAACGTCGTGGCCCAAGGACTGGGGGCCGAAAGCCGTGCGATGCCCACAACTACTACAAGAAGTTCTTGCCGCACCTGAAGGCGGCCGCCTTAGAGGTGCTCGATTCCAAGGACTACAAGAACGAAAAGGAGCAGCTGCTGGCTCTACTGACTGCTCTCAAGATCACACCCGAATTCTCCACTGTTCCATCGACATCCGGGGTGACTCTTGTGAAGGTGCAGCTAAATGTGGATTTTGATAACCTTTTTATTGATTTCGAAAGCAGGATCTGTCGCTATATGCTTGACTACTTCAAGGTGATGCTCAAATAGAGTTTTATTGCACTTTAAATATTATACCTCATTGTAAGCAATTGAATTGTTGGTTGTCTATCAATTTATTGTGCACTTGCATCGGGATTTTGTGGCTTAGAGGTGGCTCAGAGGTGTGGCTCCTGCTAATACCCAAGAGAGTGGAGGTAGTCACTCCTCTTTGCGCCTAGAACATGTCACATTCTCCTCGTGGATGCGCTGTAGGAGGGAGGCCTTGGAAGCAAAACGTTTGGAGGTTGCTTCTGCTTCGTTCTGCTTCCAAGGCCTCCCTCCAACAGAACGATTGGCAGCAGCTAAATCACGATAACAGCCGCGAAGGACGCGCGAGATCAGCCATGCCCTAGCATCAGTGGACAGGGATAGGGACTCGGCTGAATGTGCCCACAAAATGAGAGAACCAAAGAAATAGAAATGATGGCTAAGCCATGGAAAAAGATGGATATTTAGAAGAGGTATTTTGGTAGCCAATAAGCGGGAAGTCTGCCTTGGGCAATCGATTCAAGGCTTTGCTTTATTTGTTTGTCCCTTAAATATGCATATTTGTAGCCAGCTGAGCATTGGGCTCCACTTGCCGTGGACCCATTCACACCCCTTGCCATCACACCGGACATGTCGTACTTGGCCCATACCCTTTGTTCATTATGTGGGGTTGTTGGTGGCGGGGCTGGGTTGTGGCTCAGGCATATCAATTTACTCCATGCGACCAGTTGCATGTTTGCTTAGTTAACTACCCATAGACATATGAAGCTATGGCCGGCGAAAACCATCCTCGACCAGAGGGTTCAATTTCGATTTGTTATCCCGGATAGTCAGGGTTCGGTCGAGGGGCAGTTTTCCCCCGGCTTCAGCTCTGACTCTGACTCTAGCTCCGCGCACGGACCAGCTCTATGATCACGTCTAATTAGTTCTAATGAATGTTCAGCTGACAGGGGCTCGTCTCCTGTATCCCGAGGCCCGCAATGCAATTTTCCCCACACGATTTTCTATTTTCTATTAGTGGAGCCCGCAGTCCCGCAGTGTCCCACAGTTCGCTCTGCCCCACAATCTATTCCGCTCTGCCGCCTGCCGCCTGCCCCTGCCTGCCTGCCCGTACAGTCCTAGACGAAGGTTTTTTGCCTCGTTATTTGTAATTTGTTGTAAGTTTTTGTTTCAGTTTTTATTGTTGTTGTCGGTTGTTGGCTGTCGGTGGCCAGTTGCCGGTTGTCGGCTCTCGGTTCTTCTCACACACACACACACACACACACGGGTCCCACATACTGTCCACACTGCTTAGCCACTGCTTCCTGCACCCCCCCACCCTTTTGCAGCATCGACAAGCGGACCCGTTCTTGTTTTTATCGACATTGAAATGTGGCCCCAAAACAGTTTCAGCTCATAAAAATACAATTTGCTGCTGCTTATTTTTTACGATGCACCAGAGGGCGATGCTTGGTTGGCTGGCCCCGTCTCATATCCTGTCCGACTCCTGCTCCAGCTCCAGCTCCTGCTCCTGCTCCTGCTCCATATCCATAGCAGTAGCTATGGCTCCCAACACCCATCCAATGCCTTGCCCAATCGCTGGCCAAAAACTATTTTCGAGCATGAAATGGTCCGCACACATGCTCCAAGTGCGTCCAATGTCCACTTTCGGCCATTCGCCATGCCCTTTACCTTGGGTTGAGGCCATTTCTATTTTCATGGCAGCTGAGTCTACGGGCGGGGCAGGCTTTCGTTTGCTCTGGGTATTATTTTTCTTTAAATTCCACTTGGACTTACATATGAATTTTCGCAGCTACCTTAATGAGCCTTTCCAGGGAATCTTCTCCTATGGCTGAGTATAATTTTTAATAATTTTTACTGCTCATACCCCAGTCGAAATGAAGGGTATTCAGACTTCGAATTGTCCACCTCCCACTTTCAATGCTTCCTCTTTCGCTTTGTCTATTTTCAATTGTTTTTTTTTTTTTTCTGGTTCGGTTTTCGTTGCGTTTGCCACCAACTTATGTGGGAGCGTAGGAGGTGTTGGATGGTGGCGGCTGGATTGGGGGCGTGCTCGGCATGCAGCTGCGGCTCCGGCATTTAAAACGTTTAAGGGATTTGTTTATGAGCCTGCCCTGGGTCCCAGCCTCAGCCTCAGCCTGTTCTGCAGCGCACTACTGTCCCAGATCTGAACCGGCACAGACCGGGTAGTAGTTCAGGTGTCTGGCCATATTTTGCTTCCGTTTTGTCCATTTGAAATTGGCAAAAGTTGCTCGAAACATAAAAACAATGAGTGGCCGGAGCGGAGTGGAGCGAGAACGGCCTGCCTGAATGAGCCAATCTATTCATAATCCTGCTTAATAATCCCATGTCCCATACTCCAGCAGCCTTCTACGGCCCCCCCTGTTGGACCCTTTCTTGTTTTGGGTGGGCGAGGTCAAGGGGGAGTTAAATAAATTATCCTCATTTCTGGGACAACTGTTTGATGTGACTGTGAGCGTGTGCGGCCGCCTTTGTTGCCCAACAGTCGCAGCTCCTAAAAAGCTATCGAAATATTTTGGTACAAAAAGGAGCCAACATTACTGGCATCCAATCTGTTGTCTAGTATATTTTGTATTTTATAATGCCGTGGATTTTGTTGTCTTATGTCTTTGTCTGCCTGCCGCCTCTGAGTTTTCTATTTCTATAATTTTGATTCATTTATTACACCAAAAAAGAGTTAAGGGGTATCTAGATTTGTGGTAAAAGTGGATGTGTGTAACGCAGAGAAGGAAACGTTTCCGACAACCCATAAAGTATATATATTCTTGATCAGCATCAATAGCCGAGTCATAGAGCCATGTCTGTCTGTCCGTCTGTCCGTCTGTCTGTCTGTCTGTCTGTCCGTCTTGTTGAGATCTCGACTACTATAAGAGCTAGGGCAACCAAATTTGTTTTCCACACTCATGTGATATCACACTGCTACAAGTGTATTTCAAAATTTTGCCCCGCCCCCTTCCGCCCCCCACAAAGAACGAAAATCTGTGGCAGGCACATTTTTAAAGATACAAATAAAACTAAAAACGCAGTATCGGAAAAAATGCCCATACCTACCAGACTGCCGAATCTGAATCAGATCAGATCATAATTATAGCCAGAATGAAGAAATTAATTTTCAGTTGCTTCCCCTGTCCCCCCTCCCCGACGACGACAACGAAACTCATTTTCCTTCTCGCTCGCACACTCTGCCGCGTTCAGTGCGCGAGCAACCCCTAGCGGAGGAGATGTAGAATCTAAATGGAGCATGTACATTGTACAATCTACATGTTAGATGTAGAATATACATTGTAGATGTAGATGTAGATATCAGATGTAGCAAAAAAATGTAAAATGTAAAATTTTTTTTTTTCTAAAATTCTAAAAAATCATAAGATCAAAAATGTATATACTGACTGAGTACGGGTATAAGTAGAGTCGCGTCCCCAGAAGCGACTCGCACGTTCCTTCTCGTTTTTTGTTTGTTTTTGGTTGCATGGGCAATGATCCTGACACTCTGTGTTCTACAGATTCCTGTTCTTGGTTCTTTAATTTCATAGGTTTGACTGGAATCGGCAAATAATTCTAATTAAAATTATTTGATATTTTCCGCTGAAACAGGATAGCAGGAAATTTACTTTTATCGCATGTATACGAGTAGAAGATATGCTGCTCGAGTGTGCAGCTAGACAAGACCCCATTAAGGATAGATATACATATGTATCTATGTGCTACTATATGCAGTTCTCGTTTGGGGCGATGTGTGGCAACGGGGGCGTGGCAGCAGCGTGTGTGCGTGTGGTTTGGGGGTTGGGACTGGGACTGCTGCTGGTGCTGCTGGTGCTGCGTGAAAAGGACACAGCAAAGTCGGAGCCATTGCACTTATTGTATAATTATGCAGTTTAATGAATACTAAAAAGCTGCCAGACAAGAGACGAGTTCTAGTGGGTGTGCGAATGGGATGGGGGGGGTGCATCGAGGGTGCTGCGGTGGGCTTGGGCGTGTGGCAATAAATACCACACACTGCACTGGCACTGCAGGGATGGGCAGCAGCAGCAACAAAATAAACGTGTGTATAAAATTAACAAAATGAAATGAAGAAAATCCACAAAAAAAAGAAGGAACGTGTGAGTCGCTTCTGGGGACGCGACTCTACTTATACCCGTACTCAGTCAGTATATACATTTTTGAGCTTATGATTTTTAAGAATTTTAGAAAAAAAAAAATTTTTAATTTTACATTTTTTTGCTACATCTGTTATCTACATCTACAATGTATATTTTACATCTAACATGTAGATTATAGATGTACCATTCATATTCTACATATCCCCCGGTAGGGGTTGCTCGCGCACTGAACGCGGCAGAGTGTGCGAGCGAGAAGGAAAATGAGTTGCGTTGTTTTGTTCAGGAGGGGGCAGGGGAAGCAACAGAAAATTAATTTCTTCATTCTGGCTATAATTATGATCCGATTTGATTCAAATTTGGCAGTCTAGTAGATATGGGCATTTTCTACGACACTGCGTTTTTAGTTTTATCGTATCTTTAAAATTGTGCCTGCCACAGATTTTCGTCCTTTGTGGGGGGCAAGGGAGGCGGGGCGAAATTTTGAAATACACTTGTAGCAGTGTGATATCACATGAGTCTGGAAACCAAATTTGGTTAGCCTAACTCTTATAGTCTCTGAGATCCAGGCGCTCAACAAGACGGACGGACGGACGGACGGACGGACAGACAGACATGGCTATATCGACTCGGCTATTGATGCTGATCAAGAATATATATACTTTATGGGGTCGGAAAATTTTCCTTCTCTGCGTTACACACATCCACTTTTACCACAAATCTAATATACCCCTTAACTCTTTTTTGAGTACGGGTATAAAAATAAAGAAATAATATAACTATAATTTTACCTCTGTGTATCGAGGCCATAGATACCCCTTGAAGATGGGCAGATCAGAGGACAGCTATGTATGTTTATATATATAACGTAAGAGGGTGAAATGATTATGATCTTTTGCATAT